TTTTTGACAGTAATGAAATGATTGATGTTTTGATTTATATCAGTGTTTCTAAACAAGAAGATCCTCTTAAGCGATTCTTAAATGTTGTAAGGTATTATATATCAGGATGGCATATTAAACCCAAGGTTGGTTTTGCGTTTTAATTTTTATGAAAATTTAGGAAACTTTTTATTCATAATCAAAATTCGTTATAGGGTGTAAAAAAACCTTATAATCCGGTATTGGGAGAGTTCTTTCGCGCTCGTTGGCATTTCTCTGATAACACTGAAGCATGTTTCGTAGCCGAACAAGTCTCCCACCATCCGCCGATCTCTGCATATTATTATGCAAGTCCAGAAAACAACCTGATCATTTGCGGTGACATAAGACCGAAATCAAGATTTTTAGGAAATAGTGCAGCTACATTGATGCAAGGTGAATCTAAAATCATTTTCACCAATCGACCAGGTGAAATATATCGGATCGAAATGCCAAATGTGTATGCGCGTGGAATCCTATTTGGTAGAATGGTAATGGAGTTAGGAGACAACTCCACGGTTCGATGTGAGAAAAGTGATTTAATTTGCGAATTGGAATTTCGAACGAAGGCATGTTCTTGTTTGGAGATTAATTTTGCGCATTCGAACTTCGTTCGAAAGACCACCTATTTATTTAAAAATCCGATGATTTACTAAATTTCAGGGATTTTTTACTGGGGCTTACAACTCAATTTATGGAAAAATAAAGCGTGAATCTACTGGAGAAGCACTTTATGAAATTACCGGAAAATGGTCAGATATCATGTACATTAAGAACCTTGAGGTAAATAATATCAAATATGAGGGAAATTGATAATATGAGCGCCTTTCAAAATCACCAATATTATTTAAAATATAGACAGGCCAAAAGGAAGTGCTATTTAGTGTTCAGGATTCAAAGATATGTCAAAAGACTGTAGCACCAGAAGGAGAACAAGAAGAAAATGAATCTCGTCGGTAAGTTATGAGGTGATAGTGTCATTCTCATTATTTTTGCTAATTCAACTTTTACGTTTTTGTCGGTATATCTAGTTTATGGTCGAAAGTTACCAGCGCTTTAATAGGAAGAAATCTGGATCTTGCTACCGATGAAAAGACCTTAATTGAAGACAATCAGCGTAACGAAGCAAAACTCCGAGAGGCCGAAGGGATTGACTGGAGGCCGAGATATTTC